GTCACATTGTGTTCATTTTGCTTTTGCTTTTTTGTCTTTTTCTGTTTCGTGTCTCTATGTGATCATTTTGTGTCTGTTTTTGGTCATTTTGTGGGGTTTTTTAATGTCACTTTGTGCTTGTGTGGGTATTTTTTGTGTCTTTGTTGTTGCTTGGTGTGTTTTTTGTGATCACCTTGTGTGTCTTTTAGGTCATTTTGTGTGTCTTTGTAATAATTTTGTGTCCTTTTGTGGTCATTTTGTGTCTCTCTTTGGTTCTTTTGGCTTGTTTTTAACGCCACATTGTGTTAATTTTGCATTTCTTTGCCTTTTTCGGTTTTGTGTCTCTTTATGATCCTTTTTTGTGTCCATGTGATCATTTTCTTCTTTTCTTTTCTTCTTCTTTCTGTCTTTTTGCGATAGTTTTGTGGGTTTTTTTGTCTCTGTGGTCATTTTTGCTTCTATCTATGGTCATTTAGAGTTTCTTTGTAATGATTTTGTGTACATTTGTGATCATTTTGTGTCTCTAATTTAGTCATTTTTGGCTTGTTTTTAATGTCAAATTTTGTTCATTTTGCATTTCTTCTTCTGTTTTGTGTCTCTATGTGATCGTTTTGTGGTTGTTGTGTGTTATTTTGTGTGATTTTTTTATGCCACTCTCTGGTTGCTTTGCATGCCTTTGTTGTTATTTGAATACATTGTCATTTTTCTGTGCTGGGTGTCTGATACCGGCGCTGAGCTCAGAGCCCGGTCGCTCCCTTCAGTAATCCCACAGTAGCATTAATATCAGAGGTGGACTCTGACTAACGGATGTGCTGGTGTTGTGTCAGATGTCTGTATATATTCAGATTAAACTGACAGAACCGCGATTCCAGACCCTGACCTGCCGTCCTCTGCGGCTCTCATCTGAATACAGCGAATAAAAGCCGTGACAGGAGATGCTGGAGGGGAAATCTGCCTATATTACAATACGAAGTAAGAAGGGCCTCCATGCTCGTCCGATCATGCGCTTGACAGTTGTTGCTCGGCTGTGGGTTACGGCCTGCTGAACAGAAGGTCGGCAGGCATCATGGATTTCACCGACAGGCTGACTCGCTGACAGATCGGCCTGGAGAGACGGCGAGGAGGAGGAGGAGGAGGGTCAAAGGTCACGGCTGGAAGAAGCAGCGGTGATGGGAGACTGTCACGGCCCAGCGATCGGCTGCAGCGAGTGAACTCATTCTGTCCGGCGCATCTCAGGACGCTCAATTAGACCGGCCGCCGATTCATGAGCGGCAGCCGTCTGACAGCAGCCTGACAGCAGCGTCTCATAAATACGCCTACATGTAAAGTCGGCTCAGATTGGTCGAACAGCTGATAGGTTTACACCGGAGACATGAGGGAGGGCTGCAGCGGAAATGAAATGAGACGAAAACAGCCGAGTGATGAACTCTGCTTATGTAGCTCTTCAGTTTTGTGTCTATTTTTGGTCACTTTCTGTCTCCTTTAAGTCATTTTGTGTTTCTTTGTGGTTGTTTTATGTCTCTTTTGGGTCATTGTGTGTCTGTTTATAATAGTTTTATGTCTTTATGGTTGTTGTTGTGTGTCTGTTTGTGTCTGTTTTGGTCATTTTATGTCTCTTTCCACTACTTTTGGGTCTCTTGTGGTTGTTTTGTGTCAGTACAGGGTAGTTTTGTGTGTTTTTTTAGTCATTTTGTGTCTGTTTAGTATTTTAACCTCTTTCTAGTTGTTGTTTTTTTTCACTTTGAGGTCTTTTTGTGTCTGTTTGTGGTCATTTTATGTGTTTTTACAGGAATATCATATCTGTTTTTTGGTAATTTCATGTCTCTTTTCAGTTTTTTCTCTTTTCTTTGGCTATTTTGTGTCTCTTTAGTACTTTGTGTCTGTCTTTTGTTGTTTCTCTTCTTTGTGGTTGTTTTGTCTTGGTTTGTGTTGGCTGTTGCTTGTCTGTGTCGTGTGTCTGTGGTCATTTTTTTGTATCTGTTTTTGGTCGTTTGTTGTCTCCTTGAAGCAATCTTATGTCTCTTGTGGTTGTTTTATGTCATTTTTTTTTTTTTTTGTAATTTTGTGGTTCCTTTTGGTCATTTTGTGTCTCTGTGGTTGTTTTGTTTTTCTTCTTTTGTTGTGTTGTGTGTCTTTGTGATCATTTTGTGTCTATTGTTTGATTGTTCTGTTCTCTCTTTTTGGTTGTTGTGTGTCTGTTCATAGTAATAACAAATAATATACGTTAGAGAGAAAGAACAACACGTCGAGAGCAAAAAACAAGCTATTCAAATCGCCTGAAGCGGCAACTCGCTGTCAGTTTAAAGAAAACTACAAATCCCACAAATGTCTTGTCTCGGCGCATGCGTTGTTGTACCATAACGACATGACGAACGGTTGTTTTCAGTAGCAACCGTTATACCGAACTGAATAAAGTTGTCGTAAAAGGTAAGAAATGTTTTAAAACTACGCTTAAAATTCACATTAAAGGCAGTTTATTTTATACTGAGCTTCATTTGTCACAACTGTCTCATACTGGCTTCATTAGAAGGCTAAGCTAACTCGTTAGCCGCGTCAAGATGCTAACTACCGTTGCTAACTCACTTTGAAATTTGATGGAGATAAACTAAACCAACTCTTAGTGTTTTATGCCATATGTAATCCTGTAAATAAAGTCGCTACGTTTATTCAACCACCCTGTGATGTTTTCTTTCTCTCTGTATCCCGAATACTTTAGCAAATCAGTGTACAGGAAGTGACGCCAGACTCTGTTTAAATTCTGGCAGTTTTTTACGTTTACAGCTGAAAGTGACGCTTCACATGTTTTCAGACACAATTCAAAACACTGAAATATCGGGAAAAGACAGTTTTCATTTCGGCAAATGTTTAATACACCCATCACATTGTATTTCAGTGAAATTTCAAATTGTAGAAGCTACTTGCGTCACGTTGCTCAGTTTTATGCTAAGTGATGACAGGGAGCTTTTCGCTACAAAACTAGAAATAATATTGAAGTTGACGTCTCTTAATGTGTCAAATATATGCCGAATACATCAAAAAGTACAAATCCTTCACCTGAAAGAATAAGTATTGTTGTGCTTTGTGTGTTTTTAACCCCTTTCGGAAATTAGTTTCTATTAGTCGCTTTTTAAACAAGGTTTGGCGTGAGGTTTTCTCCAAAACTCCACAGAACGGTCTGCATTAATGTAGTGAGCCAGGAGTGGTCCCTAACTCTATTTTTTTGTGTCTGTCACGTGACAATATATGTTGAAACCTTTGGATTTAACTAAAGCTTTCTATTTTCAGACTGAACTATGTCCTCTGTGCTGGATGAGACAGCAGCAGATGTGCCAGTCAAAGACATCACAGTGAGCCTGTCCAGACTTACAGCTGCTGCTCAAGGTGATGCTGCTGGCTGCAAAAACATGGCACCCACTTGTTGCATGTTTGTCTGTGAAATGACATGTGTTTTTACAGCATGCAACAGAACTCAACAGTTGTGCACTATCACTTAAATATTTAATGATCCAAAACAGAATCACTTTACAGTAATTGCACTGTTTCTAAGTTGAACAGTAGGGTATTCACTGTTATCGACAATCAGCAGGTAATTTAGAAATACTATTTTAATTATGCACAACAATCTTTATGGCATGTTTATCACTGCATGGAAGCTTGAATTTATACCATGTAATGATAACAGCAAGACATCACTGCCTTTCAACATCTTCCTACCTGTATTTGCAAACTTCCTTTTTACGGTTAATTTTTTAAGTACAATTTGATTTTTGAAAGAGTATAAAATGTCCTTCAATTTTAAACTGATGTCTACTTTTGTGAGAAATCACATCAGTCAATATAAATTCTATGCTTTTACTTGATATTTTGTGTGCTTTTCTGTTCCTAATTTAGCAAACTTTACTTAAAAACAAACAAAATTAGTTATATAGAATTTTGTTTTAGATGTGTGTGGTGTTTTGACAGATTTAAATGTGACTTTGCATGTTTCTTAGGTTGAAATACTTACAGTTTTGGAAGTAAATACATGTTAATGCCATTATTGATTTAAAACCGCTGTTTAGCACAGAAAGTCGATGAAATCCTCCTTGTTGGAATTTTTAGAACCATAAAGTTTAATGTAACATTAGGTCATTTGTTGCTTGTCGTGCTTTTGATCTTATAAGTGCAGCTTATTCACCTCCAGCTCCATGCCTGATGATGTGCCGTTTTCAGATCCGCTGGTGTATCAGCATGCTCGGGCACGACAGGACATCTCGCGGGTGTCCAGGGAGGAGCTGGAGGACCGATTCCTGCGTCTCAATGAGGAGACGCTGGTCCTCAAACAGCACATTCACAAACAGGACGACAAAATCAAGAAGTGAGACGAGCACACGACACACAGAGCCGAACCAGACATGAACAGGAGGTTTTATTTTCTTAGTTCATCAGCATCATGTGAAATAGACGCCTCAGAAAGTCTTGAGAAGTCTTGAAGTCAGCTCTCTTTAAAAAGTATTTAATAGAAGTGCTTTTAATTTACAAAGGGCTTGTTAATATTTTCTTGCTTGTTATTGACACAAACATTAACTGTTTAGAAGCTCATTGACACAGTGCTGATGTTATTCATTCCTTTTAAAAATTTGGTTAAACCGTCACTTTTCTCTTCGTCTCATTTTGGTTATTTTGTCTCTCCTCGTTGTCATTTTGTGTCTCCTTGTGTTTGTTTTTTGTCTTTTCTTGTATTTTTGTGCTACGTTTGGTTATTTTATGTCTCTTTTTGGTTGTTTCGTGCCTCTTTGTGGTCATTTTTTGTCTCCTAGTGGCGATTTTGTGTCTCTTTGTGTTCATATTGTATTTCTTTTGGTTGTTTTGTGTGTCTGTTCTGGTCGTTTATGCCTTTTTGTTGTTGCTTTTCAGATGTTTTGCTTCTCTTTGATATCATTTTACATCCTATTTTGTGTCATTTTTGTCTTTTAGTGGTCATGTTGTGGTTTATTGGTGGTCATATTTTATTATTTTTGCTTTTTTGTCTGTTGGTGCTTGTTGTGTGCTTCTTTGTGTTGTTTTGTGTCTCTTTGTAGTTGTTTCTTATTCCTTTGTGCTTGTTTTGTGTCTCTTTGTAGTTGTGTCGTGTGTCTCTGTTGTTGCTTTGTGTCTCTTTTTGGTTGTTTTACATCTCTTTGTCATCATTTTTTGTCTGTTTAATTACTTCTGCAGTTGATAGTGTATTTAATTGGTGTTCACAGGTTGTATAAATAGCACTCGGCATGAGTAAAGTGAACTTTGCATGTATACCTGGTTTAATGCTTCTTTAACCTGCACAGAGTCGCACTGTGGCTCTTATTGATCTGTAACTCTTACTCTAATCCTCCTCCTCCCTCCAGACTGGGCACCAAGCTGATGAGGCTGGTGAAGGATCGAGGCCGGATGGAGCAGCTGGCGGCCGGAGGAGCCCAGCCACTGTCCAGGGTTCGAGACGTGGAGATGGAGGAGATGATCGAGGAGCTGCAGGAGAAGGTCCGAGGGCTGCTGACCGAGAACGAAGGACTAAAGCAGCGTTTCCTCGTAGCCAAGCAGCAGCTCATCAACTCCCAGAGCCGGAGGCCGACACCATACGGACACGTCCCGCCGCGAGTCAACTCTGGGCTGAAGAGGCTCAGAGACGACGCCTCGTCTCCTTCTCAGGCGCGACCTAAAAGTGAGTTAGCGTGCCCAAGCAAGTATTTTCACATTAAAAAGCAGGTACTTTAGCTGTTTATTAATAGATTAGCTGTCTAAAAATGTCTGTACCAGTTTCTCAAAGTTTCCGGAGAGATTCAGTTTACTGTGCGGGCCAAAGAAAACAAAATATTCACATCTGTAAAGCTGAAAATGCACAACTTCTACAGTTTTCTTTAGAAATTACTCAAAATGATTAATCAGTTTCAGGTTGGGTAATTTGGCTATCAAATTAAATCTTACATTTTTTGCATATTTATGTATGACCTGCAGCTTCTTTTTTTTCTACATGAACTCAGGACAAAACATGATCCAAAATAAATTTTCTTTCTTAACACTAACCATCTTGGTGACTTCCATGTATGCAAGGATGCACGTAACGTAAATGTACACATTAAAACTCATGATTTGAAACATTTCTGTGTCACCAGAGTTGCTGCAGCGTCTATACTTTTTCCGTCCATAAATCTCCTGTTGACTTCACTGTCTCCTAGATCTTCCTCGCTGACTCTGCACACTTCATGTTTATCCTGCTGTTTGTTTTTTCCTACAATAATCTCTTCACCAACTGTCCCCACATCACTGTTACAACTGTCAGAGATGACACCATGAAAAAGAGAGAACAGTCATACTGTTATAACAAATCGTCTGTGAATCTGCGTCCTGCAGGTATGAGGAGTTTGGAGGGAGGCGGCAGACCTCCGATCGGTCAGCTGCCTCGATATGGACACAGTCTGCTGGAGGAGGCGAGGGCCGAAATACGCAACCTGTGAGTACTGAAAGCACTCAGCTGTCCTTTACAGCTGTGTGATTATTCAAGATAAGAACGCTGGTTTGGATTATTGTGAACCAGCTTCATGAAAAGACCCAAAACAACAGTAAACATCTCTACTGACGAGTGTAACAACACCTGACTTGACTTGTCAGGGCAGAGACTGAACACAAGGGAAGAACAGTAACACAATTAAATCTGAATTAGCAGTTAGAGCATGACAGTGGGTTGCAAAAACAAAGCATGCATATATCTGTAGTTTGTAATCGTTTTGTGTCACTTTCTGGCTGTTTTCCATCTTGTGTCCGTGTCTTTTTAATTATTTTGCGTCTCTGAAGTCACTGTGAATCTCTGTTGTTAATTTGTTGTCATTTTTGTGTCTTCGCTTTGTAGTTGTTCTGTGGCTTTGTGGCTGTTTTTCTTTCCTGTTCTTGTGTCTCTGGTCTTTGCTGTCATTGCGGTTATTCTAAAATTACATAAAAAGTTGTTGTTTCCCAAAACTTGAGATGACAAATGTGCTGTTTTGTCCACAAACCAAGGTTATTTAATTTACTGTCACAGAGAAGGAAAGAAACAAGAAAATATTCACATTTAAGAAGCTGAAATCAAAGAATTTAGCCCTTTTCCCCCTCATTAAAAAAAAAAATCATTTAGGGGCCAGTTCATTTAATAAATTGTTGCTCCATTTGTAATGAGGTGAAATAAGTGAAGATTTGCAACTTTGTGCGTCCAGAGAAAACGTGATCGAGTCCCAGCGAAGCCACATCGAGGAGCTTGAAGGAATCTCAGAGCTGCTGAGGGAGGAACTGAGGAAGAAGGAGGCCGAGTACGAAGAGAAACTCCTGCAGGTCCGACAGCAGCAAACCTCCAAACTCAGGTAGGATGTTAGTTTATAATAAGGCTGAACCGAGCCTTGAATTAAAGCTGTGTTGTGGCCAGTGTTGCTGTCAGTATGTATGTTAATTTACTGCTGTGATATGTGTGTGTTGTGTTTTTCTACTTATGTAAGAGCTCTGCAATGTAGTTCAAGTCTGTGTAATATCTGTATTTCTTATATCAGTATTTGTACTCATGGAAGAATCTGTGTAACACTTCAAAATGAGCAATATTGTTGTTTTTTCTGTGCAAGATCTCAATATCCACTTATGGAAAAATCAGTACGTATGTGTCTTTTAGTTAGATTTTGTGTTCCACTAATGTTCCCTACATGTTTCCACCCCTTTCATACTGTAACACTGCAAATTTAGGGTTAATTAAAAACCCACTGTGTCCGTTCCCTCTGCCAGAAGAGCTACTAGAAGTATTAGAGTTCAGCATTTCTTAGCATAGAGAAGTCCTTAATAAATAGATGATGATGCTGCACATCCTGCAGGGTCCTTATCCTTTCTGATGAACCCAATAACACTGAAACAGGATCTGGTTTTACTTGTATCTTAAAAACTTGTGTAAAGGAACCAAATATTGCCACCCAGAAGTCTTGTAGTTCAGTTACGTAAGCATAACAGTAAAGTAAGTTTGCCTTTGTTCAGCCACATTTGTCACAAATTAGGGATTAACTGATTATAGTGGCAGATTATTGATAAACTAAATACGCTACTTTAGGTCTGATGCAGCCTCCTCTCTCTGTCTGTCCTCACAATGTCTGTCAAGCAGCAAAAACTGGACAAGAAACACAAATCAAGCAGTTAGCTTCTTTCACAGTGGCGAAGGCTACGCTAACGGCTAGCGGCTATGTTAGCAGGCAGCCACAGATTAACCTGAAACAGAGTCTGGGAAACAATAATAATGCTTTTAGATTTGGACCTTAATGGGCAAAAAAAGTGATAGAACAGTGAAAGGTTAATAAAATAGAGAAGAACCACAGGAGACAAACTGATCAATCCCAGTTGATCCCACATAAACAGAGGAGATAATCTAATCACTCCTATTTTCTATTTTACATATTCAGTTACAGTCACCCTTATTGGTGAAGAAGCCTAGTTATGGATGACAGCTTCTCTGCTATCACAAGCTGGTAAAACATTACATTTAAAACAAAAAACACATCGTTCAATCCCTTTCACAGATTGGGAATATTTCTGGGAAGATTTTGTGGAGTTTTACCTTTTGAATAATGCAGTGAAGGACTTTGAACTGTGTTAAACAAAGCAGAGAGTTATCTTCGCTTGTGTTTTTTATTCACCAGAACATAAAAACTGGAGAATCTGCAAGTTTGTCTCAGTTTGACTGCAGCCTGAATGTGAGCCACGTTGACTGTGTTTGGTCGGACCTCTTCATTAAACAGAAACAACATGTTTTCTGTGCTGTAAACAAACATCTCTTCCTCTCAGGTCTCACGTCAGCAGCAACGTGACGATGATCAAACTGCAGAAGCAGCTGGCCGACAGATCCAACACCGTGGCCGAGCTGGAGGGTCGATTCCTCCAGCTGCAGGAGGTGAGATGTTTCCTCCTCGCTGGAGTCAACTCACAGGGAAAATAACGAGTCCAATAGCAACAAATCAATACACGTTTCTCCTGTTGTCTCTCAGATAACAAATCAGCAAACAGCCTCAGACCAGTTGTGTGTTCGACATCATGTTATGGTGTTGATTTTCCCATCAGGTTCAGTTTTCTGGGGGTTCAGGGGGTCGATATGCCAGCATCAGATCCTCTTATCGGATCCAAACACTTTAAGTCTCCTGTCAAACCTCATTAAGTCTAGATTTCCTTATTTGTGAGGAACGAAACTACTATCCAGTTCAGTTCTGTGATCAGCCGTTCATTTGCAGCTGCTAAATGAATCAACATTAACGGATTCATGTCGACAGGATGCAGCTCCGGCCTGAGCAGCAGGAAAATAACATGTTTGCTGAGTTTTTTTACAAACCAGATGGTTCTGATGCTCAGCTCCTAATGAGCTCCACATATTGATCTGCTGGATAAACAGTGGACGCTGCTTTTACATGTAAACAGCCAGTGAGAAGTCATGAAAATGTCTATTTGCTGGCGAGAGGAGGCATCAACAAACAAAGCTTCAATCTGTCAGAGCGATCCGAGTTCGTTATGTCAGTGATCACTGATGAGATAATGATGCCACAAATATGAAGAATAGAAGACTCTCTGAGCCAAAGTGCACTGATTTATTGATACTTATAAGTAAAAAATCATTTCTATTAAAGAATTATTTTATTTCAAATCAAGAACACTCCAAAATCAGATACTCTTTGGACCTCCATTAATTAGAGGTTGGCTCAAGCAAATATTTAAGCATCACAATAGAACAAAGAAGCCTTGTTGGGCCCACGAAGCGTTAAATTAAATAATCGCTGCAGCTGTAAACTAAATGTTCTCTTTTCTTTCTTATGACTCAGTAAACAACTGAACTGCAGATCAAAGCAAACAAATACATGCAGCATGCTTTAAAATCAAAGTGCTGTACATGTCGTAAGATGGGAAACAGCAAAAACGTGCTGAAAACACAATTAACATGCATGAAATCAATTTCTCAATCAAAATAATTATAAAATACTAAAAAAAAATCAGGACAGATCAGGACGACAGAGAGCAGGAGAAGTGTGGAGTTCAGCACTGCAGCAGAAAACTTTCGGTAAAAAGCTTTTACCTGCGTCTGCTGTCCTGGTGATGAAAGTCAGTGAATGTGTTTTTCCAGAGTCAGCAGACGCTGAAGGCCAGCCACGAGGCGGCGATGGCGAAGGTGGACGAGCTGTCGGCTCAGCTGAAAGACGAGCGGCTCAAGAGTTTGGATCTGGAGAAGGAGCTGCAGAGCTCGAGTATATCCAGGATCAAGATGGAGCAGGTGAACCTTTTCAGAAATGTCTGCTACTTGTGTACAGTTGCCGTGGTTACAGGTGTCCTGGGAGGTGCTCACCTGTCGATACCTGGCAGGGCAGGCTGAATTCTCACCTTATGTCTTGTGTTGCTGTTGTTGGTGCAGCTGCAGGAGAGGATCAGTGAGCTGCAGCAGGAGAGAGACCTGCTGAAGGACAACAATGACAAGCTGGTGAACAGGTGAGCAGGAGGTCTTTATGTTATCCGGCTTTATTAAACCTAACCCAAGCAGTCACACACAACTGGTTTAAACTCTGTACGTCAACAGGAGTCTCTAGATACGAGCAAACATGGACAGAACTAGAGCCACATATTTCCCACAAGAACAAACTTTGATCATAAACAATATGAGTTTTTTAAAAAACATGTTTAAAAAAAAAAAAAAACATAATAAAAGCAACAAAGTTGCAGCAAACTCTTAAAAGCAAACTCAAGATCTACCTCTTCTGTCAGGCTTTTGATAGATTTTATTTATTTATTACTCTTTTTTTGACTTTTTTATTTTTTGAGTTCTGTATTTATTCACCTATTTACATATTTTAGTCTTTTTGCTGTGCTGTTTATTACTTTGTTTTTGTAATTTCTTATTCAGTTTTTTAAAAGATGACTTTATTTCTATCTCCTTTAATAATAGGTATCTTATTGTTTTAATTTATTTATGTAGCTTGTTTTATTTTATTTTATCTCATCCTCATTCCCTGTTATATTTAGGATAACGTTTCCTCAGTTCTTCAGTTCCAGTGGCTTAGACTCCAGTTTTGCTAACTTGACTGTGGTGGTATTGTTGTATTGTTTTATTGTATTTTTTATTTGTTATCTGTAAAGCACTTTGTGTTGCTTTTCTGTTTGTATAAAAAGTGCTATAGAAAGACTGAGCCTGAAAACTGCAGACTGTATTAATGCGTTGTTAAAAAACTTACCAATATCACCGCCCCATCGTGTATGAGTTGGTCAAATGTAGGTTTCTCATTCAAGATTCAGTTTAATTAACCAGCAGTTTAATTACCATCATGCATTACAAGACTGTATAACAAAATTACAGATGTGGTCCCTTAATGCGACTCACAAAAAGATTAATTAGTCAAAGAGAAAATAATTAAGTAATAAAATAAAACTATTTTCGTAGTATTTCAACTATTTCATTTAGAATAGAATAGAATAGAATAGAATGCCTTTATTGTCACTATACACAAGTACAATGAGATTAAGAGCAGCTCCTTCAGTGCCATATATAATAAAGTACAAAATAAAGAGCAAAAAATGAGTTTCATTCTTAAGGTGTGTAGGACACTTTTAGCTTTATTATTCTTAGGTGACTGGTGATGTTAAACAGTTTTGGAAACAAGTAAAGAACAAATATAAAAACATCTTTTAAACTGGTCCGTCCTTGACTGGCCCTGATCGATTGAGGGTTTTTTTTTTTTTTTAAACTAATCAGTATCTGCACCACATAAGACTGATTTGTTGTTTACATCGGCTGTCACACAGGTGTTGTAACGTTAAATAATATTCTTAATAAATACTGTATTATTTATTAATAAGACACAAGAAAGAAACAAGAAAATACCCACCTGAAGAAGCTGCTTTCATATGACTCGTTTATACTTTTCTTTTATTTGAAAAATGGCTTAAACAGACAAATCGATCATCAGAATAGTCGATAGTTTGTTTATTAGTCAACAGCTGTTTGATTAATCGCCACAGCTGTTGTCTGCTACTTCCTGCGTATTCATGAATGATGTTTATTTGTCACCAGAATCTAATGTCACGTAATTATTTTGTGTTTTTGTGTGTCTTCAGTGCCTTCGATGTGTCTCAGCAACAAAAATGGCAGATTCAGGAGCAGCAGCTGAAGTTACAGATCTCTCAGCTGGAGACGGCGCTGAAGGCCGACCTCGTCGACAAAAACGAAATCCTCGACAAAATCAAGGCAGAGAGGGGTACGTACAGACGTTTGAATCTCCTACTTAGAGATTTACCTTCTCTCAGAACAAACAGTAACTTGGATAATACATCCCTGCTGCAGAGTGGAGCGTAAATCAGACTGTATATGTGTTTCTTCAGATGCAAGTGAGAAGCTGACAGAAGAAAACAGGAAACTTCACATCCAGTTTCTGGAACAGAAGCAGCAGCTGGAGGAGCTGAGCGGCCGGATGAAGTTCTACAGCAAAGTGAGCTGATTGAATAAATCCTGCGATCTTCTGCGAGTTAACACATAATCACTTTGTCCTGCACAGTTTAAACTGATCAGATTAATACATCGTCACTTTAGAGGCTACAGCTGTTATTTCAGTTTGTCAGATACATCTTAAATCTACATTTAGGTCAATCTAAGTATCAGAGATGTTAAAGGATAAAGACCAGAGAACTGGATCTAGACATCACTGTAATCTCTCAGTCGTGATCAGCATTTTCAGATTTCTGACATTCATCAAGGACTGAGGACTTAATCAGTTTTACATTTTAATCCTACTCAATTAATTCAATTAGCAACTCACAACGGCTGCAGTTTAGGATTTACATTATGCAGCTTAACCAGTGTTTAAGCAGTCTCAGTGATTTCAGCGAATTCATGCTGTCTTCCTTTAGTGACAGTGACGCTTTTGATGATGTCTAAACCATTGCATGTTTTAAATCTAATAAGCAGGACTCTAAAAACTATACCATCATTTAAATCACAATATTTGTGGGGTGCCCCTATAGCTCACCTAAGCTGAGCGGATGTCCCATGAACAGGGGCTATAGTTCCCTGATGCAGCGGTCGCGGGTTTGACTCCCGCTCACGACCCTTTGCTGCAGGTCTCTCCCCGTTCTTCTTCTCCCACCTTTCCTGTCTATCGCTACTGCTCTTAAATAAAGGCAAAAAAGCCCAAAAAATATATTTAAAAAAAAAAAAAAATCCCAATATTTGTCAGACAATCACAACTAGACAGTTTCTATCTGTTCATCACTGGAGGCTTTTCAGTCATGCAGCTGTAATTTTATTGTCTAAAAAAATCCAGTACATTTCATTGTGCACATTTTGTACTTTTTTGGTACCTTTTGTAGAATTTTGAGGGAAACGTACAGAGAATAAATCAAAACACTCTGAATTCAGACACTGAAATGAAACCAAACTGACGTTCATCACTGTGTTCTTTAAAGGAGGGGGACTATGATGTGGCTGAACTCACTGAGGCTCTGCTGCTGGTCAAAGTAAGTGGAGCATTTTAGTTTTACGGTTCTGCTCCATTTGTGTTTATTCTCACATCAAATGAATACTGTGTATAAATTAGTTTTTTATCTCACTGTTTGATCCATAACACCATGATGACACTGTGTCTCCTCCTCAGACCCGTAAATCCCAGAAGAACAGAGAGCTGGGCTTCCTGAAGGAGGTGGAGGAGGAGGGGAGCAGCGCCGAGAGCTCCGTCAGAGAGCTGAGAGCTGCTCACGCTGAAACCATCCAGGAGCTGGAGAAGACCAGGAGTCTGCTGAACGTGGAGAGCAGGATCAGCAAAGACTACAAGGTGGAGGATCAGCAAACTTATAGGTCCAATCACAGTCTCTGCACTCATATAGCTGTTTTAGTGATAAATGGGTGATTTTGACTCTCAGGAATTAAAATTACATCAGCAATTATCAATAGGATCATTGTGAGCAGAATGAGTTTTTATTCCTGGTATCTATAACATAACTCTGACCGGTCAAAATGGCAGTTAGATCTGTAGTTTAGTTTGGTTCATGAGGACTAATCTGAATTGTTGTCCGTTGGATGTCGGTGCAGCAAAGCATTTGAAGAATGGCGGCTGCTGTGGAGGATAAGATTGTTAGAAAATGCCTTGAAATAGAAAGAAGTCATCAGCTGGGAGTTTGTGTAAAACGAGAGCTTTGTTTATCTGAAATTTGTTCTTGAAATGCATTAAAAGTTTGTTCTCAGGCTGTTCCAACATGGAGGTAAAAATGGCTGCCATATGTGGTTATGGTTGCAGCGCTGCAGCATGTTTGAAGAGCAAGCTGTAGCTTCTGATGTAATTACAGAAATCTGCAACGTCATTTCACCGAGTCGAGGCATCTGCCTGCTTGCTGTTGTTGCTATTTATTTATCTATTTAAGCTTTGGTAAGATGTATAAACACTATTATGTCCCAAACTGATCAACAGAGCAGCTGATCAAATGGAACATGAGTCCGAATTCTGTTTTTGTTTTTTTGTTTGTTTTGACGGCATTCTCTCCAGTGCTGTTGTGGTGGTGTGTCCCATTCCCCCTCTTTATACCATTTCTATCCGTCCTGAACTAACACAGAGGGTCTAGATAGGGATTGGGCTTTCACTGGATCTGTTCGTGGTTCCTCATTGGAGTTTGCTGTGGCAGGAGCCTCTGGTTTATTGCCTGAAGTGTAAACGTCCTGAGTGAAGTCTGTTTTCTGTTGTCACGGTAACGAGGCGGAGCTGGAAGCTGCGCTGCGGAAGAAGGACGCCGATAAAGTCGAGTACGAGCAGAAGCTGGAGCGTCAGGCTCAGCTGCTGGACACCAGGGCGGCCAAGCTCCGGAAGCTGGAAGGTATTCGCTCAACTTTAGTGCAAATGAAGTAAAATACAACTTAAACTTTACCTGAGTATCACCGTTTGCTACTTGAGGCAAATGTTTTACTTTTTACTACATTTATTGACAGCTTTAATTCCTTTGCAGATTTAGTTTAATAAGAGAAAGACATAAATTATGAGGTAATGTTATAGATTAAAAGAACACTTTATTGATCCCTGGGCGTATAATTACAAACAGCTGATATAAAGCAGTTAAATCATCTTCACCAAATACGACATTAAAACAAAAAGCTCTTTAATAGATCAATCATAACACACAATATTGTGAAATGTATAAAAATCATTAGTATTTCTGCTTTCAGTCTCATAGTTTTAATCTCACGTTTTATGTCATGTTTCTACTTTTTACTTCATAAGTTTGCCTTGAGCAGTCAAACTTTTTATTTATTTATTTATTTTTTTTAAATCTTCTAATTAGTATGTTTTGTCTCATGAGTTTTATTTTGATGAAGGTTCACTGACGACCCTCCAGTGCTGCCTCAACAGTACAGTCTAACCTGTTTTATAGCTGAACTGTTGTGTTTGTTCATATAGTCTGTCTCTGGTTTTCCACAAATCCTAAAAGAACTCAGCAGACAGACTGTCCAGTTTGATTACTAAAAGTTGAGCTAACATGATAACTTGTCTTGTTTATTCTACCCCGTCTTAAAGCTTTTTTTATGTCAATGCTCCTCAGCTCAGCTCAGAGAAATCGCCTACGGCACCAAAACCTACGTCTTCAAACCGGACGTCACGGGTGAAGACGAGGCGGACGAATTCAACGAAACTCTCCACCTGGAGCGAGGAGAGAACCTGCTGGAGCTTCAGGTCGTCAGCGCCACACTGTCCCCGTCGGCCCTGCAGCTCCTGGGCGACGCCGAGCCCTCCACCTTCTGCACGTATTCCTTCTACCTGTTCGAGCTGCACTCCACTCCGGTGGTGACGGGACGCCAGCCCAGGTACGGCTTCACCTCCAAGTACGTGGTGAGCGTGGACGACAGCTTCCTGGACTACCTGCACAGGTACTCGGTCACAGTGGAGCTGCATCAGGCACTCGGTCTGGATTGGAGGACGCTGGCGACCGGACAGCTGAGGCTGCAGCAGCTGCTGGAGCAGGACGGGAAGATTCACGGCAGCATACCACTGGTCGGTGAGTGGAGTCAGACTGATGATTATAAAGGTGGTTGAGGAGAATAAGCTCAAGCAGCAGAAGAGCTGCAAGACATCCAGGTCCTCACAGCAGTTTTAAAAAGTAGAAAACATTTACTCAGAAAAGCTTTTTATCTGAGGAGGCTTTATTGATTCCCTCACCGTCAACTTTCTGAACTCCAAACTGATTCTGGGCTCATTTTTCACGATAAAGTCCTGCACCTCTGTGGAAACAGAATGAAGGAGGAGAGAGAACTCAGAAATGAGTAACATAAGTGATTAAAAAAGATAAAACAAGGACTGAATTTCCTTAATTAATGACCAAAATACTGGGAAAAAAGTGGTGACCCTACGTACTAAAATTATATTTTTAAATTGCTACAGACTCAGTGTTTTTCTCTCTACTCTGCTCATCAGCTCTCTAAAGATGTTTCACCCTGCTGGATGTGTCCTCCATTAACTCGCTCCTCTGTTCAGCGTTTCTGAGCCATGCTGCGTTTATTTTATTGATCCAGTTTGTTTTATTTTGCCCTTCAGTCTCTCTTGTCGTCTGGTCACAGCTGAGTCAGTTTTTTGTTTTTTTTTGAGAAATTTTAATTCAGACATGTGGAACGATGTGATTTCATTAAAACTCACGAGCTGAGATTTGGTTGTTTTCTCCTCTCAGAACCGCATGACACAGATGATATGTTTAAGATTCTTTTGATTCTATGGTTTCTGACTGATAAATGCTGCCATTTGAAGATTTGTTTTTGAAGATAGCATGTCTTTCATATTTCCCGACAGGTTTTGGAGTTCGGAGGTTAAATAATTTATTTTATTTTGGATGAACTGGTTTAGAATTTTGTTCTCTTTTCTCACTTTGGATTTTTCCTTCTTAGGGATAAGTGAGGAGGCCCGTTCCTTTGGTTCTGTGGATTACTGGCTGAGGCTGAGGATCCCCATGACGGAGACCGTCCAGCTGTTTAAGGAGAAGCTGAAGGCCGTGGGCTTCATCAGTCAACCTGAACAGGTACCTGAGCTGTAAAGGACATCTACAGCTCATTTATGTATGGGTTGTTCTAGGCAGGGTTGCAACTTAAGATTATTCTCATTGGTTATGGTTAATATGCAAAATCTAAAAAAAAATATTTAAAATTAATAAAAATAACATCTGAGGATATTAGGATGATTTGAGAAAGTAAATATGTCAGTCTTGCTTTAAAAATAATAATAGTTGATTATCAAAATATCTGCTCATTCATTTTCTGTCCACTAATAAAGCCCGACACTGGACCTGCCGTATCTTTAATCAGACAGTAAACTCATATTTTAATAATAAACTGTAGTTTTAATTTAAGTCTCTTTGTCTTAATTCTGCCTGAGAAAAGCCAGTCAGCTCAATCAGTCACCTCATTTCTGGAAACATACTTTTATCAGAGAGCCTTTTGCTGATTTTACTTCAGTATTGAACTGCCTTTTATTTCTTTTCAATGCCTTTTCCAACACTGTTTTGGTTTTCATACACAAAATTGTGTTTTTATTTTGCGGCTTTGTGAGACACTTTGTAACTTGGGTTTTGTAAAATGCTCCGTAAATAATAATAATATAATTATTATATGAAACGGCCCACAGCAGCTGCACAATCAAAGTTCCACTTTTGTAATCTGAGTATCTTTTGTGCTGTTTGTTTTGACGTTGCCTCTCAGCTGCAGCCTCCCAGCAGCAGCAGCGGCAGCTATAACAAGCTCTTCATCACCGTCCAACGCTGCACTGACCTTCAGTCCAGAAGCTCTCAGCTGCCGAGCCCCTACGTCGTCTACAAGTTCTCCGACTTCCCCGACTACCCGACCGCCACCGTCCACGACCGCTGCGACCCCCAGTTTAACGACCTGAAGTCCTACTCGGTCCTGATGGACGTGGACCTGGACCGGTACCTGCAGTCTGACGTCCTTCACTTCTATGTGTTTGACTACAAGGAGGAACAGATGGATACGTACCTGGGGAAGGCAAGAGTGCCGTTACTGGGACTGACCCACGATCAGAGCATCACTGGTGAGGAGGTCACTGTTTATGCATCATTAAAATGCCAGTAACAAGTGAAATGCAACATTAAACATTAATATTCAATCAGCTGTTCGTACAATCAGGCGATTATCTTCAAATCCGCGATTGGAAACAAGGTAAACAGTTAACTTAGCTCAGCATAAAGACTGGAAATAAGGAAAACTGCTAGCTTAGCTTAGCATAAAGACTGGAAACAGGGTTAAACAGTTAACTTGACTTAGCATAAATACTGGAAACAGATTAAATAGTTAATTTAGCTTAGCATAATAGCTGGAAAGAAAGAAAACTGATAGCTTAGCTTAGCATTAAGACTCGAAACAGAGTTAAACCATGATCTTCGCTTAGCATAAAACTGGATACAGGGTAAACAGTTAACTTAGCTTAGCATAAAAACCAGAGACATGAAAACTGTTGTATTAAAGACTGAGACCTGATTGACCTGTTTCCTCTCTCAGGTGCGTTTGAGCTGGTCGATCCCTCCGGTCTCCCTGCTGGTCACATAGAAGTCAACCTGAAGTGGAAATCCACCTACCTCCCTCCGCCAGGATCCATCATGGCTGCTGAAGAACCCAGATTTATTCCACAGGAGAAACCTGTTAAGGGAACATCTGGACTGAAGCAGGAACAAACGACTGTGGAGGATCAGAAGAAACACTCACTTCTGAAAGATGTCAAAGAGAAACTGCAGGAGGAAAATAAAGACCTCCATCGCTCCACATCTCAGCCTGAAGCTACTGCTGCTGCTAAGGTCAGGATGTTCATCCTTACTAATCATGAAGACTGGAAACAGCTAGTTTCGCTGAGCATAAAGACTGTAGATGGGGGAAGTGGTCAACTTAGCTTAGCATAAAGACTTAGCCAGAGCAAACAGCTAGCTTAGTTAGCTGGAAACAAGGGAAATGGCTTGATTAGCACAGTGGAAAGACTGGACTCAGAGAAAACAACTAGCTTACCTTAGCACAAAGAATGGACACAGGACAAAAAACTAGATTATCTTAACATAAAAACTGGAAAATGTATAAATTGCTTGCTTGCCTTTGCATAAACATTACTAACCTAATTTAGCCAAAAGACTGGGAACAAGGAGAACAGCTAGTTACGTTCAGCATAAAGGATGGATACATAGGCAATGGCTAGTTAAGTTTAGCATTAAGACTGGAATCAGTGGGAAAAAGCTAACTAAGCTAAGCATAAAGACTGATAGCAAGGAGAACAGCTAGCTGAGCTTAGCATAAAGACTGGAAATCAGGAAAACGGTTAACTTAGCTTAGCATAAAGACTGGAAACAATGGGGAAAAAGCTAAATAAACTAGGCATGCAGACTGAAAGCCTGGAGAAAAACTAGCTGAGCTTACCATAAAGAGTGGAAGTTGGGGAAACGGCTAACTTAGCTTAGCATAAAGACTGGATACAGAATAAACTGCCAGCTTAGTTTAGCATAATGCTGGAAACGGTGTTAAACAGCTAGTACTAGTAGTTCATCCAAAGGGAACATATTCTACTTTCCTGCTCGATTGAAATGTTTGATCTTGTTTATTTAATTGATACTAAAACAAAGGCTGTATGACGGACTGTTTCTAAAGAAGTCCTCTGATCCTTGACTTTAGTAAAATTAGAAATACTACAAAATCAAAAGGTGCAAATAAAAGTCTTGCGTTCAAACTTCAAGAAGTTTTACGACAAAATGAACATGAAGCTTTAAAAGCAAAATACTTGCTCTACTAGTGTTAAAATATGGAACCTTTAAGCAGCTCTGACACACCTCCTGCCTAAAACACCAGCTTGGCTTTATGTTCACATCCTTTAACCTGCAATAATGCTTCATGTTTCATGTTTGTTTGTGTCCATCAGGCTCCGCTGCCCAAACTCAGACTGAAGACACTAATGAAGGAAACACCGGCTGCCAAAAGAGTCACGTTTGTGGAAACCAAAGCTTCAGACGAACAGGTGAGATTTCTGAGTGAAACTTTTAGCTCCTGTGAGCTGATCCACCACGTTAGCTTCACTCCAACGTCTCGTACTAAAAACAAGCAAAGGCAGAGTTTTAGATATTTTTAGCTGATTTAAACCAGTTTCTGTGTTTTTCTTGTGTAGCTGGAAGATCGAAGCTCAGCAGCTTCCAGCAAATCTGCAGAGAAGGGAGACACATCAGCACCTGCTGTGAAGGTAGACCTGAAACCTGACGTCTGTTTTGTATTTAAAGATGCTTGTCTTCACCCAGAAATTACAAAAACACTAGTAAACATCATTTAACAGGAGGTTGTTGCTCAGCAAGTGGAGCTGAGTGAATTGGATTTTTATCTGCCACACTGAGAGAGAATTAGCCGAGCAGACTGTGGAAACTTCTCATTAATATTTGAAGTGAAATGATCTCCTGTGACGTTCCTTTGTCAAATTATTTTGTATTTGCAGGTTTCGTCTAAAGCTCCTCAAAGCGCCACCGAGGAGGACAATGATGATGAAGAGTCCCACGTTTCTGAAGGACAGCTGGTCCCAGCGAGCACTCAGTCCTACTCTGACGACTCTGACATCTCTGAGGAGATTATTGAAGGTCAGGAGACACTCGTCAATATCTATTATTCAATTTTGCCTTACAAAACTGTTTTTCTAGCCTTTATCGCTGCTCCATCAAGGTTTTTCAGCTTCTTCTATTTCCTTTTTTAGTCATTTCATTTCATTTTATGTGAGAATTCATCAAGTTACTGATTAAAATCATTAATCATGAGATTAAAAAAAAAGTCCAAATTAAGACATACAAATTCAAAATTATAAACGAAAAATTAATAATTAGAAGATTAAAAGGTCAAATTATGAGGCATGAAATGCTGAATTGTAAGATAAAACCTCTAACTTGTGAAATAAAAAGGTTAAAATTTAGGTTAAAAGCTAATAATTATAAAATAAGAACTCAAATTAGGGGTTAAAAGGTTAAAATACATTTTTAAGTTACATTTTAAAAAGGTTAAAGTTAGAATGATGAAATAAACAATAAAGTAAACAAAGTATGAGATGAACACTCAAACAATAATAAAAACCTAAAATAAACGAGACAGAAACTTACAATCACGATTAAAAGGGTCCAAATTCTAATAAAAACGTTAAATAAAGAGATAAAAAAGTTTAAATTATGAATAAAAACGGGGACAAAAAGTAAAAATTAAAGCATTAAAAGTTCAGATTATGAGAAAAAAACTTCATTAAAAAGTCAAAAGAGAGACAAAATTGTAAAATAATGAGATTTTAAATGACATATTATGAGATCACACCTTAAAAACTAAAGTGAAAAGTTAAAAATAGAAAAGAGAGAAAAGGTGAAATTATGAAATGAAAACTTAAAATGAAGGTAAAAATTAAAATACATTTGTTTTGGGGGATAAATGGTTAAAATTCTAAATTAAGATCTTTTTTTTTATTATTATTTGATAAAAACCTGAAGCACTAAAAAGATACAATCACGAGATGAAAACATAATATTTTTAGACAAAAGTCCAAATTTATGAATCATCTAAATTGTGAAAAAGTAGTTTCAGTTTCCTTATGTTGACTTTTTTGACTGGATTTAGTCAGAGTTTGTACTTTACTTTTATTTAAACCAGACAGACTTTCCCTCTTTGTCTTGTGCGTTGCTGCTGTGGAGGAGTTTCCAGACAGACTCAGCGCTCTGCCTGTTATCAGATTTGCACTGTGGAGAGAAAACCGGTATCGACTCGTTGGTTTTTAATCACAGGTCGAGCTGCAGCTCCCCGAACGTCTCCCTGTTGTTTAGGCTCCGACCTAAAGCTGCTAATGTTATTGTTTTGCCGCAATGTTTCCTGAGCCGAGCCGCCGTAAATATTTAATGCTGCTGCCGATAATCCTTAGATCAGACTCCATAAATGTTAATGACGCCAAACATCTTGTTGTTTCTCAGCATCGGCAGCGAACTCAGCGCAGGAGACGGTGTGTTTAAATGTTCATCGTCTGTTTTTATTTCTTTCTCAACAAGCAGAATCACATTTTTTCATCTCCTTCATTCTGCCTTTTGCTGTTTGTTTGTGCTCGTCTCCTGCTTCCCGTCCGGATCCGTCCAGATGTGGAGGAGGCGCCGGCAGCTGCAGAGGATCAGAGCCAGTCGACCCAGTCCGACAGCGACGACTGCATCGTTCACGGACAGGCCACAGGGAGGAAGGTCAGTGGATGCCTCGCTCTGTTTACCTTCCAGCAGACATCAGTGAGCGCTGTGTTGCTCGGTTACAGGCAGACTTGATGTCCAGCTGTGGAAAAAAAAACACATCTCAGCTCATGTTTTCACTGTGGAGTGATTTGTGAAGGTGTTTTGTTTTTGTTCGATTTTATTGTTTCTCAATGCTGACTGAGTCTGTGTGTTAAAAACACAAACTTCCACATGAAGTCTGTTTTTTTGGTTTTTTTTGTGATTCTACACAGAAGACGGCATCAAGTCAAACCAGTCAACAGTTAAATCTGGAGAGACCGATGGTGGACGGTGGGCTGCAGCTAACAGCTAGCTTCTCCATCAGTTTATCATTAGACATAAAGTCCGGTGAAGATGCTGCTGTACTTCATCTGGTCTGAATTTAATCCGCAATGTTTGATTCCAAATTAAAGCAGTTTAACAGTTTGAGAAATTTCCCTGATTGTGAGAATCTCTCGGTGTCTGTTTACCTTCGTTTGCTTTGATGACAACAGCACTCAAGCTGCACAGACTCCACCAATTCAGACAGGATAAGCCCTGAAATGACCAAACAGCCAAAATAGAAGGCAAAACAGCCACAAAAACACATAAAATGATCAAAATAGAAGCCAGAACAGCCACAAAAAAGATGTAAAATGATCAAATTAGAAGCCAGAACAGCCACAAAAAGATAGGACTTACAATGAACGCAAAAAGATGTAAAATGACAAAATGTGACACAAACGTACCACAAAAATATGTAATAAGACCAAAACTGGATGTAAGATGACCATAAAAAGGAGTAAAACGATCATAATTGAATGCAAAAAGACCACAAACAGATGTAAAACGACCAAAATGTGATTGGAAACGAACACAAAAAGATGTAAAATGATCACAATGTGGAACGAAAGTACTACAAAAGGATGTAAAAAGACAAAAATGCAGTGGAAAATGACCACATATTACTAAAACGGGATGCAAGATGAACAAAATGTGAATCAAAACATAAAGATGTAAAGCGACCAAAATGTGATGGAAAATGTGACACAAACCTACCACAAGAATATGTAAAAAGACCACAATTTAATGCAAAGTGACCACAACAAAAAGCAAAAGAATCCTAACTGGATGCAAAATGACCACAGTGTGATTAGAAAGGAACACAAAACGATGTAAAAATAACCAAAATATGATGCAAAAAGACTACAAAGAGATGGAAAATGACCAAAATGGGATGCGAAACCACCAAATGTGATGGAAAATGACCAAAATGGGATGCAAAACCACCGCAAAAAGATGCAAAGTGACCATAATGTGAATCAAAACATGAATATAAAGAAGTAAAACAACCAAAATGTGATGAAAAATGACCACAAAAGATGTAAAACAACCCAAATATAACACAAAACGCCTAAAAATAATGAAACTGTGACGCAAAACCACCACAATGAGCTACAAAATGAAGAAATAGAAACACATAATGACCAAAATGTTACAGGAAATGAACTAAACAGTGATTTTCGTCTCATCAGACGTCATCAAATAAAAATAGGTTCAGAAACAGCAGCAACTGTAGCTGAACCATCTGAGTGTGTCTGTTTGTGTCGTCTTGTGTTTTGGCTGTTTGTTTGTGTGTTTGTTTACTGAAACGCCTTCATCTTAACACTGGAATCTTTTTCGTCAGTTCAGCTCCAGTCGAAGTAACGACACTGAAAACACAAGAACCACAGTGACAGATGTAGAAGCTGCTTAGATGTAATAAATCAACTGGAGGATAACTTGCGGTGCTGTTCTGGTTTCAGCCGTCGGAGCGTCTGCGGCTGGAGATCGTCTCTCTGAGCCTGAAGCCGGACTCTCGGCCGGCTCAGGACGGCGGCGTGGTGCGTCTGTTTGTCGAATACTCCTTCCTGGATCTGCCCACCGAGGAAACCCCCGTGTCTCTGCCCAAACCCCCGCCGGGCCGCAGCATCAACTACAACTACAGCAAAGGTACAGAAAGTCAGTTGAGATGCTCCAGATGGATGAAATAACGGCTGTTCTTGGCAAATCCTGCACCTTCAATTCCCTGATGCACCATAAAGAAGCAGCTGCTGTTCTATGAAAAGGTGTAAAAACATCTCAAGTTTTACTGACGTACGTTAAGTGTCACATCAGCCGACTGTAGCTGTGACCACACAGTGGGTCGTTCTGCTTTATGCATTACGCTCAGCTGGTTCACAAACAGGAATCTGCCTCCTCCCTGATGTAGAAGAGTTTCTAAACCAACGCCGACACTCTGTCTTCTCAGTTTATACAGGTCTGTTTGTTTAACTGTAGCTAAAGCACAGAAAGCAACACTTCAGGTCTAGAAATGTGGATTTTATTTTCACAACAGGTGCTTTATGTCGACAGTTTTTTAGAAGATGCTCCGTGTTTACTGGTATAAAGACAATGTAGTGGCATGTTTGACCTTTTTTGACAGTTTAGGATCACAACTGGCTTTATTAGAATCAGAAAGACGTCATCGATCCCTGAGGGGAACCTGCTTATGTTACAGTTGCTCCCATTCAAAGTCTTAGACATGTTGTGTTTTTCTTTTCTATCAAAGTACTGACACACAGCAGAAGTTTAAAGACTGAGAACTACCATCTACAGCTCTAGATGTAAAAGAGCGTGTTTAAAGTGAACCAGTTTAGTGCAAGTGTTTCACCAAACTAAGGTTTAGAACAAAATATAGTTGTTAACGATACGTGAGTGCAGATGTTTTCAAATATCTCCTCATTTTTCTGTAGCGGAACCACAGCGCCGAACACTTTTGGGTTTTATTTCCAACAAAGGTGCTTCAGATTTATGTCTTTTTACTAGACGTGAGCTGATTTTAACATTAGGTCCTCGCTGTTTTGTGTTCTTTAAAGACAGATTTCTGGAGTATTTTGCCTTTTTTGACTCTTCAGAATCAGAATCAGCTTTATTAGAATCAGAATCAGAAATATGGGAGTTAGAGTTGCTCCCATTCAAAGTCTTAGGAATACAGGCAGTACAAAAATATGTCAAATCAAGTTTATTGTCATCTTGCTGTACATACAACAGCAGTACAAACAAGATGAGAGCGTTTCTTCAGGATACAATAAGTAAAAGCAATTAATATTTGGATAAACACAAGTAAAAACATATGTTCTAGAAATACAAACATAGAAAAAGCATAAAATGTAAATTATTGGCCAACTATGTGAACACGTCATGTCAGGAATTTGACTCCAGTGTTTTTCTTTTCTATCAAAGTATGAATACACACCCAGGAACAGACGCATTTAAACAACAGCAGCAGGTTAAAGACTGAAAACTGCCATCGACAGCTTTAGATTTATTCTGAAGAGCATGTTTAAAGTGGAACCAAGTTCATGCAAAAGTTTAACCAAACTAAGGTTTAGTGCAAAATATAGTTATTAACAATAAGTTTTTAAATATCACCTCATTTTTCTGTAGCAGAACCACAACACTTAACACTTCTTGGGCGTATTTTGCCTTTTTGGACGGTTCAGCATCAGTTTTATTGTTTTCTTGGCCAACTATGTGAACGCATCATGTCAGGAATTTGACTCTGACGTTTTCTATCAAAGTGCTAAAACACACCCAGAAACACATGCATTTACTCAACAGCAGCAGGTTAAAGAAGGACAATGAGTGTTTATCTACCACGTACAGCTACAGAGATGTGTTGTTTTAATTACGCATTATTAATGAAACAGAAACTAAAAACCAAAATCAATCAACTTTAGTGGTTTAGTTTGTACACGCACACAAGGAATTAGGCTCTAGTGAATCTTAGCGCTCTGTGTAGGAAATAAAAGAAATAAACTAGAGCAATAACAATAAGATAAATAAAATAAATTAAAATAATCATCTAGGGAATCTTTGGGTTCCATCTAATCACGGACAGCCAGATTGAAAAACAGCTTGACTGAACAAAACACTCGACTACGACCGGCAACTCCTACGACTATTTATTTATTAGGCATTAAGAGATTATTGACTAATTTCGTTGCAAATTTGAAATGACAGCAAAAAAAATATTATATTCTAAAAGAGCTTGTTTTAAATGGACAGAGTTTAGTGCAAAAAAATAAAATAAACCAAAGTTTAGTGCAAAATATAATTATTACAGTAAAAACAGAGTTACTGACACCTTTATGTACATGATGTAGTATTTAGTGTATAAAGTTGGGATTCACAATGAGTCGATTTAAACGTTTGGATTTGCAGTGATGTTACCTGAATGTTTCCTGACTCTGGACGTGTCTAAGTCCTGGATGGTGGCGACGCAGACAGTGAAACATGAGGGTTAAAGTGAGGCTGTAACGTTTGTGATTTTGATCCAGTTTGTGGTGGACATGAGTCGTTTTCACTCCTTTATTAGTACCGGTTCCCCTCTCTTCTGTACCAGCCTGATAAATCAATGTTCACTTCCCTTTCCCTCAGCTTCAGTGTGATTTAAACGTGTTGAGGACTGTTGTGTTTGTTTGTTGTCCACAGTGATCCATGTGGACGCTGAGAACAACTCGACGAGGCGACGCCTGCTGAGGAAGGTCCTGCAGGGTCAGAACCCTCAGATGGAGAGGTGAGGAGGGAGAGATGTGGCTTCGTCTGTGTTGAAACAGAAACCGAGACAAAGGGATGAGTTTGTTATTACTGCTGTTGATACAACGGATACCAGTAAAGTCTCACCTGGTAGCGGTTACTTCAGGCTAACAGAGCAGACTCCTGTTTAAATGAATGAGTTAACATTACTTCCTTTTCTCTCTTTGTTAAATTTCCTCTCTGTTGTTCTGCAGGACATTTTCTTTGGCTACGTTTTTACTCTGCTGTATTTATAGTTTTGAGTCTGACTTTTAAAACCGACAAAACCAACATTCAGTCAGAGGTTTAGCCGCCACCTCCAAATGAAACTTCTGCTTGTTCCCAGAATCCGGTTCACGGTGGTGAGCGACCCTCCAGAGGAGGAGGAGCAGGAGAAGGAGTGTGAGGACGTGGGCGTGGCCTTTCTGAGGATCCCGGAGATCCTGGAGAAGCAGCGAGACCTGACGGAGGAAAGTCTGGACGGTCAGAACGAACACAAACACACACGTCCATCCAGAACAAACAGAACAAACAAGTCATTTTCTCTCAGTGTAAACACTCTCCATCACCTGATTTCTCTCTTAAGGGGATCACACATTTCTTTTACAAAAAAGGATAAATCTACACAATTTCCTCCAATAACAAATATTGTATCTTGTCTAGAACAAAACTCACTCATTTATTGGGTCATTTTAAGGTTTTTAAACTATTTCTTAAGAACCTTCCAGCTAGTTTAAATGAAACTTGTCAAGTCATTTTTTTTCTCTTCTGTTTGATTCATTTTGCTTGAAACAATCAGATCTGCTGCCTTTTATTATTTAGTTTCGTATTTAAACAGGAAGCAGCTTGTTTGAAGTGAAGCGTTTGAAGATTCTGTCTTGAATTTCTGATTTTCTACTTTTTCTTTTGACTCAAGCTGAAGTCACAGACAAATATTGTTGGTTTTGTTTCATTTTTAAATGCAGCAGCTTGTGAGTAATATTATGGTAATAGAGTTATGATCAATTAAAGATTTGAAAATGAGTTAGAAGTCTAATTAGTCAGCTCAAATTCAAAACATTTTTTTAATATTATTAGCTTATACCTCATGTTTTATTTCATATATTTTTTCTACCTTAAACTCAGAATTTTTACCTCCAAATGTCCTTTTTATATCATAATTTTGTCTTTTTATTATTTAATTTTAATTTAATTATTTTCCCTTTGTATCTCTTAATTGTTTATTTTTATTGCGTAATTTTTATCTCATAATTTTCTATGTTGAAGTTTTCTTTCTTTATTCCAGAATTTTTATTTTGTGGTGGTGATGAGTTTCCTCTGCAGGATGTAACAGCAGCTCGATCTCTGTGTGTCTCTGTGTGTGTGTGTGTGTGTCTTTGTGTGTGTCTTTGTGTGTCTTTGTGCGCTGCAGTGTTGGACGTGGAGGACAGCAGCGAGCCGGTCGGCAGCCTGACGGTGTCCGTGGAGGGTCTGGAGGCTCTGCGCTCCATCATGGAGGACGACGACCAGGACTGAAGCTCCGCCTCCTCGCCGCTTACATCATCACGAGGCAACAACACGACTCAGCCGACAGACAGACAGACGCTGACTCACAAACGACACACGACGCAGATTTCGCCTCACGTATCAAACACTGACTCTGTTTGTATTTTGTCTATTTTTACTGTTAAGTTATTGTTGGAACAGTTTCGGCTCAGAGACTCGTTTGTTGTTTGCTAGAATAAAACTGTTCAGGATGCTGGTTCAGGCTTGAAGGTTTTCACCGGTTGTTGGTTGATTGTCGTGAATCAGGGCTTCTGCAGGTTTTTAATTCAGTTCCCACATAAACAAAGCTGTAAACAGTTTGAGTACAAAGTCTACTGAAGGTTTCAACAGTGAACGTTATTTAAGAATATCACCAGAATGACACGTCTACCCGTCAGAAATAACAGATTCTAATCTTTCCGACGCTCATTGACCTGAACACGTGTGACGTACGTTTCCTTGAGGAACAATAACCAAATCTCAGCTTAAAATTGCGATCGTCCTCCTAAATCACTTTATTCTACGTGCTTAATTTAAAGATTCTCCAAAAGTTTAGATTTTGCGGCTGATTTAGTAAAAAACGAAACATTCGGAGCTCCTCAGAGCAGCTGATTCTCCATGACTGACTCAGCTGTGACCAAAAATCAAACCTACTGGATTAATAAATAAATGCAGCACGGCTCAGAAACCGTGAACAGAGGAGCAGGTTGTTGGAGATCCAGCCAGCTGATGGTGGAACATCTTTAGAGTTGATGAGCAGAGTAGAGTTTGTAGAAGTTGTAAAAGTGTAAAAAATAGTTAAATAGCTTGATCATTTTTCCAGGACCTGTAGCCCTCGAGGGCACTTGTGAATGTTGGACATGTCGATTCCAGCTTTTTAAAATTTTTGTAACATAAATAATCAAACAGATGTTTATCTTTTTATAATTCATAGCATTAGAACTGTGCATTAGAACTGTGTCATTCTGCACAGGAGACATTGCTGAGTTCTCTCTCGTTCTACTCATGGTTGTTTCCACAGAGGTGCAGGACTTTATATTGCAGTTAAAAATGATCCCACAGTAAGTAAAACTGTGACAGGAGCAAAAAAACACCTAAACTCTGGAGTTCAGAGGGTTGAACATGTCCACGTGTCTGATGCTTCGGTTTATGTTCAAAAGCCAGCAGAACTAAAGACGGTCACATCCGCCTCAGCCTTGTTTAATGTTAGCATGCTAAGATTAAGACATAGTAAAATGCTACCTGCTAACATTAGCGTGTTAGCACCGTGGACATGTTAGCTTTAAGCTTAGCATGCTGCTGATTCTGGTAGAGATTCCTTCAGGCGTCGAGGTTGCATTTAGTTGTTTCAGCAGCGTGTCGCTCCGTTTTAGTTCAGATTTATTTCCACACTGAAACTGTGAAAGCAGAAAACTTCAAATTGTCGCCTAATTTAGCCCGTTTTCGTCGTCTTTTCATCGGCCAATCAGTTCTCCGTTTGAAGTCAGGATAAGACAGTAAAGGTTCATGTTTGCAGGTGAACAGCCTGCATGTGGAAAACAGTGGATGTAAATCAGATTTATTGAAGATGCTCATCTGTGTCAAAGAGAAACCACTGAATGATGATTTTATTTATTTTGTAGAGTTTGGTACAAAGACTTGAAGTCACAGGTTTGTTGTTAAACTGCACAGCAGTGATCCGTATTCAACGTAACTCAAAGTGTTGACACGCTGCAGTTATTTATCGTGTTTCAGGTTTTCAGGTTCAGGTGAGAAACACTGAAGCAGGTGAGTCGACTCTGGAGACGAGTTCTCTGTTTAACATGACAGAAACATGTTTGTAACGTTGGTTGTTGTTTAAAGGAGACAAAAACACGAATGTGCCTTAAATGTGTATTTCCTGTACGACGCTTTGTATTGTGCTCTAATAAAGAATAGTTTTTTATTTACACTGGTTCACATGTTTGGTTCATAAATACCGTTTAAAGTCGGTTGTTAATAATGATTCAGTTTGTCTCCATCAGTGGAGGAAAACTAAAAGAAGAGACGTCACATCATGATTTTAACAAGTATTTGTTCATTTTTAAATCATTTTGAACGGTAAGTCAAAATCCTTCCATTGTTGCAGCTTTGACTGAAATAAAACATGAAATTTAAATGTTTGATTAGTTAAAAAGTCTAAATTATTAGTTAAAAAATAAGGTTAAAGTCAGAATAACTTCACCTCAGTGTTTCCTCTTATTTAATAGTTTTCAGTTTTATCTAATTATCACATAATTATCTCCTAATTTTGCCTTTATACCTCTTAATTTTGACTTTTTCTCTCATGATTTTCATTTAATTATTTTTGTCTGTATCTCTGAATGTTTCCTTTTAATGTCAACCTCTATTTCCTTTTTTTTTTGTCTATATTTTTTTGTTTTGTCTTGTCATTTTGATTTTCTTCTATATCTCCTTTTTTTAAAATCTCAGAATCTTTATCTCATCTTTTGCCTCATTATTCTTTACATTATTCTTTTTACCTCATAGTCTTCATATTCTAATTTTACCTTTTTATCTTTTAATTTTATTACATCATTGTTGTTGTTGTTTTTTTCTTATAGTTTATAATTTTTAAACAATATATTATTATGTTTTTTTAGTTGACAAAATGAGCCTCCGTACAGTCAGATGGTGAGAATTTAAATGCTGGATGAACATTAAAATCAGCATCAACAGAAGGTTTATTAAACATGATGTAATCTAGAAATAGCAGAAGGTTTCTGTGTTTTTTTCCTGTGTTTACATCCAGAGCTGAAGGTTGCGACCTGATCGATGCTCCTCCTGAACATTACAACTCATTAAACTGTGACTTTGTTTGTCTGATCAGCAGAAGGTTTGTGTTTCTGCTGCAGACTGAGCTTCACCGTCACTCGCTGTCTGTCTTCATTGTGTTTGTCTGCCGCCTCGGTGTCCCGGTGGGCCTCGGAGACGGAGTCTGGGCGGTGGAGGTCTGATGTCAGATGCAGCTGACGAGCCTCGGAGCAACAGGAGGACGAGACTGAACAGCCTGCAGCAGATTCACAGCAGCTGAGGACGGACGGAGCGTCTCTGCAGCAGGTGAAGCTCTGATCACAGCCTCTGTACGCTGTGCTGCTGGTCGGGATCTCTGCAGGTCTGGAAACGCCTTAAACTTTATTTGCAAAACTGTTTTTCTTCCCTGCTGTGGACTTTAACATCAGTCTGGAATGTTTGTATTTGTGGTTTTCAGCTCACAGGAGACATTTTTTACAAATATTTTACAGTTTCACTTAAATTTCTGACTTGAAGGTTGTTTTTTGAGTTAAGAAGATGCCTCATGAAATTCACTGATGGGTCACAAATAAAGATAAGACAAGCTTTTATTAATCCCACTGTGGGGAGATTTGCAAAGCAGCAAAGATGGTGCAAACATTTGAGGAATGAAGTATAATATTAAAAATAAACCGAAAACAAGATTATTGCACGATTGTCTGAACAATAGAAATACTGATATTATTATTGCTCAGACTGAGGAAATGGCATGTGTTCTAGAAAAAATAGATATTGCACAGAGTTTTTAAAGTGCAAAATACTCATGAACAACATGTTTCAGACTTCTCTTCAGTGGAAAAAGTCTGAATTTATCTTAAATTTGTCTTAAATTTATCTTAAATTCTCATCATCTCATTAGTTTTTCTAAAAAACATTCGGTAGTTTTTACAAAAGCACAGCTGCTGCTGCATGTAGGGCAACAAAATGACTTAATTGTTCTTGAAGATAAATAAATGAACTACATTTTAGTTTTGCAGTAGTGTTACTAATCAGAA